AGAGTGCGGTGCTGATAACACCAAGGCCCCGGGTTCGGATCCCTATATAGGGATGGCCGGTTAGCTCACTTGGGAGAGCGTGGTGCTGACAACACCAAGCCAAGGGTTAAATCCCCTTACCGGTCATCTTTAAAAAAAAAAAAGAAAAAAAGAAAACAGGACAGAGAGGGTGGGGGTGACATGGAGTGGGAGGGGGAACACTGGATCCAGCCTGGAACCCCACCAGAGCCATCATCGAGGGCTACCAGGGAGGTGGCTGACCAGGTGCTTAGGCACCCGCAGCAAGGGATCTGATGAGGAGCGGCTTTGAGCAGGGCCCCTTTGGCTGCAGAAACAGTGGGAGGCTGGGCAGTCGCAGGTGGGAGCTGAAAGGGGTGGGTGCAGATTAGGACTTGGAGAGGGGAACCAGGGATAACCCCCTTCAGTGGGTTTCTGACTCTGGCAGCTGGGTGGACTGGCAGGTTTGGAGAGCTCAGCTCTGCGGTGCCAGGGGATGGTGGTGAGACTCAGCTGAGAGGTTGGGTTTGGCCCAGCTAGGGGGCTGCTTGGCGTGGAGCAGCCTGGAGCCCCAGAGGTAAATCACCCAGGGGAGCTGTAGAGAGGGAAGCAGCAAAAGAAGGGGATAAATGCTTGGTGGGGCGGGGGGATGGTGTGTGTGGGGAAGGCCACCAGGGGAGGCAGCCGGAGGAGGGAAGGACCATGGGTGCTGGAGGGAGGGTCTAAGCAGGTGGCCCCCAGGCAGCAGACCCGGTAGGGACAACCAGAGATTGGCTCAGAGGGGAAGGCCCAGGCCCATCTAAGCTGGGGAGAGGGCGGCAGCCTCCTGCCATAGTTGGGGGTGGCTGGACTCAGGGGCATCAGAATCCTGCTGCAGCTCCGGCCCCCACCTGGTCCAATCCAGGGTGTCCAAGCCTGTGTGGTCTCCCCTCTAACCCACCCATCTCTTGCTTCCACAGGGACAATAAATGTGACTACTGGATCAGAACTTTTGTCCCAAGTTCCCAGCCCGGCCGGTTCACCCTGGGCAACATTAACAGTGAGTCATGAGTGAGGTGGCACCCTGGGGTTGGGGTTCCAGGGGGCACAGGCATCCCTGCTCCTCCACACAGACGCTGTTCTGGGCTGGGGAGAAAGGGGACTACTCCCTCCTCCTGTCCAGGACAGGGCTGACCCCTTGCCATCCGTGCCCGCAGATTACAGTAGAATACAGAGCTACACAGTGCAAGTGGCAGCCACTGACTACAAACAGTATGCCATGGTGTACTTCAAGAAGGTTTCTAACAACAAGGAGTACTTCAAGACCACTCTCTACGGTGTGTCCTCACCCCACCCCCTCGGGAACCCGGCTCCTGATCACCCCTGGGGGGAGGGAGAGGGGGAGGGGGAGGAGGCCCACCCTCACCCAGCTCCCAAGATCCTCTCCAGTTCCAGCCCCACTCAGGGAGAGCAGACCCTCCATGAGGAACAGGTCTGAGGCCTCATTCACTCATTCAACAATATTTATGGAGTGTCCACCTGTCGCTCACTGACCATCTTGGCCACAGGGAGAACCAAGGAGCTGTCCCCTAAACTGAAGGAGGACTTCATCCGCTTCGCCAAATCTCTGGGCCTCACTGATGAGCACATCGTCTTCCCTGTCCCAATCGGTAATGGCCGGTTGGGGACGGGGGAAGAGGACATGGGGATTTATCCAGGCCTAATGCTGCCCCACCAGGGAAAGGGGGAGAGAGGGACTCGGTCCCCTGCTCCAGTCACTACAGGGGTGGATGGCCTGGGAGCTCCCTGGGAGCCACTTTGGAACCAGGAAGATCCTGTCCCACCCTAGGGTCTGTGGGCCCCCTGGGGATCCCAGCCCCAAGAGCTCCTCCCTGACAGTTTAGCCAGTGCCGGCCTAGAAGACAGTTTCAGGCCCAGGTCCACACTTCCCCAGCCTCACTGCCCTGGACCACCTCCTCCTCACACTCCCAGGTCCCCCTTGTCCTGGGCCACCTCCCCTCTGTGCCCTGGGTCTTACATCTCCCCTCCCCCTGAGCAGGGGGCTCCATTCAGAACACTAAGAGAGCCACTAGTCTTCCCAAGGCTCAGGGGCTGCCAGGGCTCCAAGGGTAAACAGGCAGGAGGCCTGGGGTGCCCGAGCAGCTGGAGCTGGGCCTCACTTGCCTCCTCTGAAGCACAGTGTCCCCCAGGGCAGTCTGTCCCCTGGTCTTTCTACCCCACCCCATGCCCCATCCCTGAAGGGAATCCCAGATCTTCTGCAGCTGGGCCAGGCTGGGCCTGGGGCAGGCCAGGGGCAGTGTGAGGGTCCTGGCAGTCTCACGTACATGCACACACATGAGCACGCGCGCACACACACACACATCCCTCTGCCTGTTCTGATGGACTTTCTCCTCCACAGACAAATGCATCGACAACTGAGCGTGCAGTAAGTACGGCTGGGGAGGCCAGGGGGCCAGGGCTGGGGGTCTCAGGGCTGGCTTTGTTCCACCCCCTGCCCACAGCACTGCTGCCGTCTTTACTCCATGTCCCCCTCTCAGGTGCCTCGTGTCTCTCCACCCCATTTCCCTTGTGTTGGCCTCTGCCCAGGGTGCCACCCAGCTGCCCCACCAGCCTGATGCCAGTGAGAGAGCTAGGAGACCTTTCTCATGGTGCTAGTCACCCAGCTGCTCCCCAGGCTACCCTGATGATGGAGCCCCACCTTGTCTGCTAAATAAACACATGGCCCCAGGCCCCCCCAGTCTGCACTCCTTGACCCCTGGGCCATCGGGGAGGGGGACGGGCAAAGGGTGGACTCACACCAGCATCACTCTCTGCACCTGTGGTCCCCAGTGGGGGGTGGAGGCCACAGAACCCAACCTGACGTTAGGGTTGCAGAGCAAAGGCGCAAGGGGAAGAAGACTCAAGGGCTTGGCCCTGTCACCCAGCAGCCCCTCGCAGCTGACTGCCCTGAGTCCTTCCTACGCAGAATAATACCACATCACTCCGGCTTTGCTTGGGCACTTCCTAGCTCCCAACCCTGGGCTCAGCCACAGAGCAGTGGCAGTTTCACATGCCCCCTGCCTGTGAGGGGAACACTGATGGGGCCACACCACATACCACACTCGGCCACCTGCAACAGGTCCCACAGCAGTGGCCCAGCCAGGGCTGGGGAGCTGGAGGGGCCCAGGGGTGTGTAAGGTGCGGCCACCCCCAACTCATCAGGACCCCTGTGGTTGCTGGGAGACCACCGGCAGGACAGGAGGGTGCGCGGTGGGTGGGTGGGTGTGCGTGTGGGCGGAGGCATGCCCCTGAAGCTGTTCCAGGCAGAGAGGCTCGGCAGGGGTGGTCCCCTGCCCCTCTACCAGTCCCCTGTGGGTCCAATGCTCACCCTCCTGCCCCCACTGGGTGGGTGGCCAGGTCCATGCTGACCCCTTTCCGAGCGCAGCCCCTCACCCCACACCTCCCTCTATGCTGACCTCCAAACCACCTGGGGGGAGCACATTGTGAAGCGGGGGGCAGGGCTAGGGGGAGGTAAGGAGGGGGTATGCTGCCAGACTCGGGGGCTCCAGGCCTGCACCCATCACTCGGCAGAGCCTGCGTCAGGCCCAACAAGCCACTGTTCTTCCCCTGCCGCAGCTTCTCAGGTCTTCATTCCACACAGGAACTCTCTTCCCGGCCTCTTCTCCCTTTGCTAGGTCAGAGGCCAGAGTCAGGGGGTGGGGGTTTCTGAAGAAACCAGGCCTCCCACCCCACAACCACACGCACCTGCCCCATTCACCCTCGGCTGGGGAGGGGGACATACTGGAGCTGTGAGCAGTCCCAGCCTGCAGCCTTGGAAGTCCAGGCCAGACTCCAGGCACCAGCTTGGTGCAGCCTGGGCATCGAGTGAGGGCTTGTGGCTGTGCCCAAGCCCAGGTGGGCTCCAGGCTGAGAAGGATGCCCAGAGTCACACTAGCTGGCAGAGGGGGTGGAAGCTGTACCCAGCATGCCTGGCCCTGGGGCTCCACTTGGGGCAGCAGACCCGGTGTCTTACCTTGGCCCATGCAAGGGACCTTCTTGTCACCCCCTGGGCCTGCTGTGCCTTTCACGATCAAACTCTTAGGGCACAAATGGGCTTTGCATTCCCTTCCTGGGAGGCTGGAGGTATGAGTTTCCTATTGTCACTATGACAAATTACCACAAACTGTAGGCTTAAAACAACGCACACGTATTCTCTCACAATTCTGAAGGTCAAAAGTCTGAAATCAGTTTCACCATGTTGAAATCAAAGTGTCAGCAGGGCTGTGCTCCTTCTGGAGGCTCTGGGGGAGAATCTACCTCCCCACCTTTTCTAGCTTCTAGAGCTGCCTTCTTTGCATTCCTTGGCTTGAGGCCACCTCCTCCTCCTTCAAAGACAGTGTGGCATCAACAGATCCCTTTCTCGGGTCTTTACTTTCAGTCATGAAGGGTAGGCTGACGCGGATGAGAGGCCATGCTCCGAAATTCTTTGGACACTCGCCTCCACTCAACCTGGTTCAAGGAGAAGAGGGCGGGGCGCCCCACGTGCAGGCTGGTGGTGACTCCTATGGCAGGCCTCACCCCCACCTTCCTCAGCTGAAATGTTGGGAGTGGCTTCTGAGACAGGAGAGGATTCCACCCCATTGTCACCATCTGGGACACACACCTGGGCCTGGCCCCTGTGCTGAGGATGACCTGCCCATAGGAACAACCAGTGTGAGACCAGGACCAGGCTGCTGCAGCCATGGGGACTCCTGGCCACTATAGCTACAGCAGTCCCCAGGACATGGGCCTGACTCTCAGGGTGCACCCCTAGTCAGGATCACACCTCTGGGTTCAACCGTGAGGGTCACTGGCTAGCGCAATGGCTCTGAGCAGGCCTCCCTTTTCCACCTGGCAAATGGGGTGGGGAGTGATGGCAGCAGGACCGACCTTATCACGAAGGCTTCCCTGAGGGACAGCCATGCAGCGCTCTGCCACACACACCCAGCCTCCACTGCAGCACCCACGTGAGGGGAGCAGCAAACCTTTTCTCCACTGGGAACATGACACACAGTCCTGGGTAGCGCTTGAGAAAAGCCCGAAGGAGGGGGAGCCTTGCCCTAAACCCGACTGTCCCTACTTCTCTTGTCCAGAGCTGGAGTCCGGCCTCATTCCCGCCCACAGGGGGTAGCCATTGAAAGCCGTAGGACAAGCGCTGAGGACCAGGGAGGCCCAAGCCAGTGGGTAGGAGTGGTGGGTTGTCTCCGCTGGGGCTGGGGGAGGCGGGGAGTATGTGGACCCATCGTGACTCTCGGGAAGCTGTGAACAGAATTTCCGGAAGCCGTGAGAGGCCTCGGAAAACGCAGGTCTGATTTCGCCCACGCAAAGGCGCGGAAGCAGCAGGATCGGGCAGAGTGGGGGTGCCAGCTGTTCCGCCCCTCTGCCGGGCGACCCCCGAACCTGGGCTTCTCCGCGGGGAGCCCCGGGAAGGCCCCGCCCAGCGGCCGGGAGAGGGGCGGGGG